ATAAATCAGGAACGTTACAGAGATGTAGACTTATTTTATAAAAGGTGTATAAACCATTAGCGCAGACGATCTATGTCGAATAACTGGAGGCCGGGACAGGAATGGTGTGACCAATCAGCTAACGTCGAAGTCACACCTTATGGTTAATACTTAACGCTGATCACGGTTTCGTCGTAACCGGGTACTATGTTTGCTTTAGTGACCGTACAACGCAAACAACGTTATTGCAGAAATATGTTAATAAAAGTAGATACAACGAACAGAGTGCAAACACTGCCACATGGGTCATTCCGTGGCGTGCAATTAACTGATGCACGTTGTTTGTCAAAGTCTCCGACCATTAATTGGGATCATCACACACACTCCGATCAGGTAGTCGGAACCTGCCTACATAGATCAAATCAACAGTCACTGACTTCGTGAACTGATACCATTTTCTGGTTTGGATCCTACTAAACTAAAGGCAATGGTCCCGACCGTTGTTGCTACCTTGACGTGGTGGTCGGGTTTGCCTATCGCGATGAAACAACCGAGCTATACTGGCTGGAACAACCGTTCCTCAAGGTCCTACTATGTCCGACAGGTTGGTTGAAGAGCGGTGGGACTAAAAGTAACAAACCCAAGGTCCGAAGGCGAAGTCGTACTGCTGACTGTACAGAGGTGTGACAGCAGTAGGGTGTTTCCTTCAGACAACCAGCATGACAGCGATGCTGCCTTCCCACAAGGAGGGGTGGGGTTAGAAAAGGTCGACCCTAAAAATGCACACCTCACCTTACCTCACGGATTTCCGTCTCCGGCGGTAAGGCCCTTTGAAGAACGGAGCTAACACGTCAAAAACCTCCCACGAAAAGGCCGTGCACGACCGGCCTCAAGCAGTTGTCCCTTGGGCACTGCGGTCACGCTCTCAGGTCACTGAGACCACCTCTAATCCAATTTCCTTTTCAGGTACCTCCAGAAGAACCCTTCCTCGGTGTGGGCAACCGGGAAGTGATAACCGCCCTCATACCTCTAACAGCACTCATAAAGGCAATGGTTAGACACGTAACATATGCCCCAATCTCGTTCGATGAGAATTCATCAACCGATTAGTCGCCTATGCCAACTTCAACATTTGTAACAGATGTTGAAGCCAGTGTTTTGAGTTGGCAACACCACTTAAATATTCTAAACTTTTTTTACTCTCAATCTAATTTGTTTGATGAGAAAACGATAATTCAAGAGCTAAGTTCTCATTTAAATTCAGCATAAGACTAAGATACACCTCTGCTAGTGTTCATTTTATTCATCCATCGCAAAACGCGAAAATACTAAAATCTGTCCAGTACTATCTGGATTTATTTCAGACAACAATAAATTTCTTTTTGTAAGAATTCTGTTGAATGATTCATAAAATTGAGTTTCAACTATCAAAGTGATGATTCTACTTTATTTCTAATAGTCAAAAAAGAAATTCAAACAACTGGACAAACAGCATGTAATTCAATCTCTATTCAATCAGTCCAAACTTGAGTAACAATATTTGACTACTTTCAAAGTTTCTAAACATTTGTGTTTAATAAGCTTGATAACTGTTAGTGGAAATAACTTCACAACTTTCCAGATAAACTTTATTATAACACTTGAAATGGATATTCATTAGTTGTGTTTGTGGATGTTGATTTCATCTCTCATCCAAAATCGTTGCACTTTACTGGTTTCTTTCAAATATTTCCCTGTAGGTCAGACCTTTAGGTCCAAGGCTCGGGGTGTGGCCCCCTAAGAAAACCACCTGGTTCGGTCTGGGCACCCGGACAGTATCCCAGCCCTCACACAAATCGAATGATTTATATGGCGCATATCTATTCGGTGCCTCCTTGTACCAATGCTTATGTGTTTAAATAAATAATAATAAAAGAATAACTTCCTCACTCTATTCACTAGTATATAAGTTCTTTTAATTGAGATCATGAACCGATTGATGTTAGACCACTGTTGAAAACCTGAAAACACTGGACGGCCGTTTCGTCCTATTGTGGGACTCCTCAGCAGTGCGCATCCACGATCTCACTTATTTTTATCAATCAATTAAGTAGTTGAAAAATATAATAAAAATAGCATAATATTTGTTACTATCACACTAGTTTATTTGTTTACAAAATATTCTAGTCCATTTCATATATATGTAAACAGAAACGGGATTGTTATTCAATAGTTATTTGATTTCATTGTCTGTATCATTCAGTTGATAAAATAATAATGAATAGGTTGATTATTTTCTTATTTTTTGGTTTTGAGGTTAATTTGACCCCTGACCTAAAGTTAGATAGATGAATAATCCATTTTGATCTATGCAAATAGACAACATAGGTCAAGATAACCTTAATCAATAAATTTGTTTAATGATATATCTATTTATATTTGTACCGATTTCAGCAGCAATAACTAGGATCAGTCTATTGCTTATATGTTGCGAGAAAAGGTTGATAATACTTCAAAAGCATGAATAATCTTTTGGTAGTGACTGTGATGAATAGGCAATGCATTGTGGTTCAAAGCGTTCTGTCAATTACCTGTAGTAGGCGTCAAGTCGTGGTTGACTATGATCACCACTACAGGAAGACTACGTGCCAGTTAGTTACCAGGTTAAATATCAGAAGGCAGTTGATGGTTTCAGTCGAGATGTATTTGTTGGCGATCTCGGGATAACGTTATAATACCAAGATCGTGCTCAAACCCACAAGCGAGACTACTGAGCGTAAGAGAGTTCGTGTAAGGTCATAAACAACGGAAGAGTGTGTCTTTTTGGTACACTTAAAAAAACAAGTACAGTAAGACAATCACGAATACAGCTGGTTACAATAATTATAATTTCCATTATGCCTATCGAGTTTTCTTCATAAAAGTAGGTCACTACATACCGTTAAACACTTAACAGTAAATATACTGTGAAACACGACAACGGGTAGGAGGAAGGTGTTGATTGCGCAAAGTTATAAAGTATTTATATGATACATTATACATATCTTTCAATCGTTCATTTGCATCTTTCGATCAGTTCTGCTATCTGAATTGTCTACTCGTCTGATCTCTAGATGTTCTGACAACACCATGCTTTCGATGCACTGAAACTCTTCACTCCATCTGACAACTGTAAAAACTTCAAAATCACGTTCCGCTACACACCACTTATAAATAGCGTCCACTACAATACCACACTACAGCATTGAGTCTCTTAATTTATAATTCAAATTAAAAACTTAGTCAATAAACTCTCTAGTCGGTGTCAATCTGTGATAAGAATATTCTTGAGTTGAAGTATCCTGTGTAAATCAACCAACTAAGCAGCGATCATGTCTTCGATCAGTTTCAAATTAAAGAGATTCTTTAAGGTCTCCTGATAAGTAACCAGTGAAATTCAACTATGAGATGGCAGGGGAGATTTATAGTTCAGATGGATGATTTTGGTGGGGTTTTATACTGTAAGCTTGATGGTTTAGTCGTAGAACTTTCGTTCTTCTGTATATCATCAGCACAAACCTCAAGTAGAGGTGAAGTGTTTAAACTTCTCTACATATGACTTACAACTTGTCCTGTAGAGCCCGATTTTGATTTATTTTTATTTTTAACCAGTCATTGTTAACTTCTTTATTATGATTGTGTTTCCCATTGATTTGATTCATGATCCTATATTTGTCCATAACTTTTCTGGTTAGTTGATAAATTGGATCGATTTCAATATGTTTATTGATCGGTGATTGACCCGAGTGCCAAACTTCTAAAAATTCTCTGGTGTGTTTAGAATTCTCTCTATCCAAAATCTGAACATTTTCTCAGTCTAATGTTTGTCCACACGCATTGATATAGGCGAGGATATGTCATGGCCTCTTACCGTTAATTGATGTTTATACAGGTGAAAATTATGATGTTCCGAAGAATGATGAAAGCTCCACGACCGAACCATTCAGCTCAGAGAACAAACCTCCACCGGGATTCAATCATACCTGAAGTGAGATATATGATCGATAGCATTTACTGGTAGGTACGTTATGTCAGGAAATGTGAACTTTTTATTCTAACTCAATGCTCGTAAAGTTTAGTGTGCACTTCAAGGTCTGCAAGTACTAACTACACTAAGGATGAATTGTACCCCATCATTATTACTTGGTTCTATTTGATACCCAATATAAGGGGCAACTCAGCTAATAATGATAGACTGTAGTTATCTACAGTGAAACTCCCTCTCTTCAATTAACAGGCGTAGTCAATCTAGTTTTATCACTTCACTTTCAATACTGAGACTAAATCTTTCAACAACTGAAACTCTTCTTTCATAACTATTCACTCAATCACGTAATAATTACATCTAAGTTTAGGATTTACTAGCTCAATCTTAAAAAATATTTTTCCGTATAAGTTTCAGACTTGTTATTTTCTTCAAATTATCATTGTGCATTTTCACTACTTATGAGTAGAGTGTTTAGAATGTATGAAAATGAATGACCATTCATTTGCTAAGTACAATACAGGTTTGACTCACAATTTATATGCATGTAACAGTAAAATTATCTGGCTACCCTACTATAAAAAATTGGTAGTATCACTCCGCAGCTGGACCATAGAACGGAAACTAGTTATAAATCTCTTCTAGTTTGATAAACGAAACGCGGCCTGCTTGAATATCTGGGCTACCTGTTCCACCGATCTAATTTTCATCAATTATCTGTTTTGTTGTTTGTTTTAGCACATCACTATGTCTATTGTGCGCACAACCTATTCAGGCGCGTTTATGAAAAGTTTACAACCTTTCGCTATACGGGATACAAGAAGGTACAATCAGAGACATCATGGTTGCTGGCAATATGCATTGAAACAAATGAACAGTAATCAAATGTGGATTACCAAACTTCTAACATCTAACTGGTCATCATTCAAAATTTATCGTCACAATCGATCAAGGTATAAGACAAGGAAACTTGTTGAAATATTTTATGCTGAGAATTCTATGTTGTACCAAAAATATAATGTTGAATAAAGCTTCTAATAATAATAATAATAATAATAATAATAATAATAATAATAATAATAATAATAATAATAATAATAATAATAATAATAATAATAATAATAATAATAATAATAATAATAATAATAATTCACCACAGTATGGTCAATATCAGAAATCCCCTTTTGACTTAAACTATACAGTCTTATACTGTTTAACTTTGAAAATAAGGAAATGTTTAGTGTTCTTCACGAACAGTGTTATTGTCGACTAAATACTGAAATTTTGATATTTACCTGAAAGTTCATAAACACATGTCCCCAAATGCCCTAGTACGGCCGAGAGTGGGAAGAGTCCGCTCTCCAAATGCTCTCACATGGACAGGCGTATACAATCACTGACAGGAAAGTCTTAATCACTGCCTCCTCATGGCAGGGATGTTGATAACGAAGTCGAGAGGACGAAAAGCTAATGACCGGTGCTTTAAATGTATTGGTATATATGGGGAGGTCCATCTAGGGGAGTTGGAAAACACTGATTCCAAACCAATGGTGCACATGGGCTCCAGTATCCTGAAGGAACAAATGGCGTATGAACCAACTATTGATCACCTTGTTATTTGTATTTAAATTTCACTAGCGAATGACATTCTCTAAAGAACCAATGAAAACCAGAAACTATTAAATATTTATTTCATCCTACTTCAAAACACTTTCCTCTAATCTTCACTATTCATCATATGAGAATGAAATTAACAAATTCCGGTCTCAAATTGAATTTGTTATCTTCTTGATCAATAAAGAACAAAACAGAATCATATCATCTATGTGTATCGATTTCAATCAATTTGTAATGGTGTAAATTATTGATTATCTTTAACCAATAATCGATAGAAGAAATTTTCCTATTAAAACAACAAAACAATGATATATGCAAGTAATCTGATAAGATAAGCTTGTCAACAATATGCTTTAATGTTTTCTATCACTAATGGTATCATTCACTAACCAAAGAAATCACTGATGATAACTTGCAAGGTCATTACCAGATATAGTAATATCCGTTACATTTTGTATTATATAATTAACTAGATAATTTGACTTTAAAACATCATTGTACATAAATAAGTAACGTATATCTCATTGAGAATGTGTCATATTCCTTTAAGAATTAAAGTATAGAATCATAATCATATAAAATCAGATAGAGTGGGTTAAATTGAATAAACTAGATAAATTACACTACGCTGAATTAGAGAGAACCTGACATATATGACAATGATCACTATCCAGTGATCAATCAATTGTAAATACATCTCAATCTTACAGGAGGTCAGTCACAGCCCGGATAGTTCAGTGTAACTTCCCTAGCTGTGAAACTTGGTGACACGAGATCGAATGCATCAGTGAATACCAGTTCCCTTAAGATTACAAATACACCTTGCTGACCAGTGCTAAATAACACGAAACCTAGGTCGGGCAGGGTTTCCTATTGACTATCTCTAACCACCATCTTATCTCAATATAATGCATGCAATGTCGAATCACTTTGACTACTGGCTACATTGTGATTTAGTCGGTATGATTTGATCTGTATTAAGAAGGACTTGACACACATGACATTGATCACCACCCAATGATCAATCAATCATGAATCAATTACACTAATTATATAACATCCAACTATTACTGATCACAAAGTATCAAATATACAGTAGGACACAAAAAATACCTGAAAATCATGATGTGCTTTACAAAACATTGATTATACTGTAAACAGTAATATAAAGTATGTTGGGCTAAATAAATCTATCTTACACCTTAGTTTTAATTGAAAGGCTTTTGTGAAAATTGATTTGATTTATAGACTCTATTCATCACAGATTGATCATAATCAGGGTGCTAATGCAAATCATAGAGGAATGGACAGATATTTCCTCGCATTATGGTAGTTCATCGTGACGGTGATAAACATGACCAAGTAGACCGTCGAACCGAGCACCTTCAGGTTTTGTCATGAATTTCTAACTTTTAGAGCATCCAATCATGAAGTTCCAACTTCAATCAATTTTTTATATAGTGTGAAGATCTTTAATTTCATTAGTGACAAATATTTTATTATCAGAAGGGGTTTTGTGGAGATTTTAGAAATTTCACTGATTGAAATTATGAGTCATTTGAAGTTAGACCACCATGGAAAACCTGGAAGCACTGGATGGCCGTTTCTTCCTAGTATGGGACTCATCAGCAGTGCGCATCTCTCCTCGTGGGATTTGAAACATGGACCTATCGGTCTCGTTGTGAATTCGCGATACAATATGAGGGTAACTTAACATAACTGGTATGCATACAGTTATTTCACAACTGGACCAATTCTATAAGTCATATCATTCTGTTGAAATTCCAATACCAACATCTAACAGAAGTCAACAATGATCTTTGGATTAATAATCAGTGAAGTAAATTTTATCATGAATTAAGTAATAGCTTTTTTCTGCTTAAAAGGCTTAAGTGGGGAAGTGTTATAACTTGTGGCCTGAATTCCCTGTTAATGCATACGTAATGATACCGCCAATTAGAGTACAGTGAATTATCGATCGAACCAATGACAAGTAAAAACAGTCTAGAGTTCTTATTGGTCCTGCTTTCTGCCTAGCCCAGCCAATTAAGTCCAGAACACCAATCTCAGCCTCTGCGATATGAATCGTTTATTTCAAACACACTAGGTTTTATATACACCAACCAAACAGACCACATCGTACCATAAAATAGGAAACAACATTTGTACAGGACTTAGCCAAATGTGAATGTAGGAGGCATTAATTAATAGACAGGGTATAACTCAAGAATGGTAAATCGTATAATAATAGTTCATAGGTCAAAATAAAGCTTGTGATAAGAGGAATATGAATATGAATAGTTTAGTTACATAACAACTATATGATAAAAATATACGTATAGTATTGATTCATAAATGGATCCCAAATGATTACCATTCAATATGTTTATCCGGGCATAACAGGAAGAAACGATGATTTAATCATACATCATTTTCACATCGTTTCTTATCTGATGCCAACCACTGATGACGATTAGTAAGAAGAGAAAAATCCTTACAAACCACTTGAATAAAATGATATTTTCACAGATTGAAATCATGGTTGAAGTTAGACATTAACACCGTTAAATGCCGGCTCAGTGGTCTAATGGTTAAGTGCTCGCGCGCAAGGCCAGTAGGTCCTGTGTTCGAATCCCGCGGGGTGCGGGGTTGTGGATACGTACTGCTGAGGAGTCCCATACTGAGACGAAATGGCCGTCCAATGCTTCCAGGTTCTCAATGGTGGTCTAGCTTCAACTGACTCATGACTTCAATCTGTGAACATTTCTAAAATCTCCACAAACCCCTTCTGAAAATGGTATTTAACTTGATATATTGGTCCTGAAAAATTTCCTACTGATTATTTTTCTCCATTTTTTAGTATCATACATAATAATCTTCACATAGAAGTTTAGATATAGTCTAACCTATTGGCTAGTCACAACGTCTTAAATGATCTGAATAGTCCGTTTTATCTCTAATCGATTACTCAAACTAAGTCAAGAGAATATATATTATAGTATCATGGTTATTATTTATTTATGTATGTATGTATGTATGTGTTTGACCCATATCTATATACGATCGTTCCATTTTCTTTAGTTCATAAAACGTGTTCTAATTAAGATGTCTATCCATTTGTTCTCTTTGTGATCTGTACTTACTTAACTAGCTGAAATCAATAATTTACGATTTGTAAATGTCACAGTATTTATTACTGATTACATTTAATCTAATATGAATAAACAGCCTGAATTAGTGTTGGATTCAAAATTGAACTTCATAAATCATATCAATTCTCATATTCATTCTCATTATACATAAAATACAGTTAGTTCTTAATAGTTAAATTCATGAATCAATACCTGGAAACATTGGATGGCCGTTTCATCCTAATTTGATGTTTCTTCAGAAATGCCCAACCATGATCCCGCTCACGGGATTCGAACCCAGTACCTTTGATCTCACGTGCGAACGCTTAAACTCTAGACCACAGAGCTAGCATCTAGTCATGTGCACGAGACTAATAAGTTCTAGGTACAAATCTCGCGAGATGGGATCGTGGATGCTCACTCCTAAGGAGTCCCATACTAGGATGAAACAGTCATTCAGTGTTTCCAGTTCTTCCATGATGGTCTAGCTTCAATTGACTCATGAATTCAACTATTAAAATTACTATAATTTATACTGAATAATATGACTTACTGAACTCTTCAATACTGAGCTGCTTAGATTATTAGGTTACATTACAAAATGATCGATATAATTCAATTCACACTAAACCCTAAAGAACATGATATTCATTGATATATGGGTATATGTATCTGTGTATAAATGACTGATTATATTGATTATATGTGTCTGTTTATGATTTACATTTCATGATTACAGCTTTATCTATTAGTGAATTTCAAATGAGGTTATCACTTTCTATTCTGTATTACTACAAATAGTATTGAATTTATAATACTAACTACTTTTCACAGATATTTATTGGTTACATGTGTAAATCACCAACGTAGATGATCTTTGTTAAATGATTGGAGGCCTATTCGAATTAGACGGGAATGATGTAACGAACTAGATAACTTTGAAATCACATCTCACAGTCAGCATCTAACGTGAATTACCCCTTTGATGTATCAAAGTACTATGGTTGCTTTGAAGACCGTATAACACAAAAGATGTTATTATGGAAGTATATTAGTAAGAATGAGTACAGAGAAGATATCGAGACCACCACCGCATAGCATATGACTAACTGACGCGCTTTGGTTGTCCTTGACTTTCATAGGGATCGATGATCTGTTCGTTATTCAGTGACTCAACTACCGGATGATTTGGTTACGGCTCAGTGACATTTCGGTGGCACTACACATTCAATATGATATGGTTTGAGGTCACATGTTCAATAATGCCTTAAATTTATACTGTATTTTAAAATTAGATCAGTTTTACGAATTTATATAAACATTACATTGATTCGATGATCCTATTAGGTGTCATTTGGCCTCTATGGATTAAGTTTCAGAAAACAATTGCAGGCTAGATACAATACTCATTCGCCGTATCCATCTTAATGGTTGTGTATGGGTCGCTATACTAGTCAGAGTAAAAAGTAACTTGTATGGAAAATAGTGTATATTCAGTATTCTAACTTTTGTTGAAACGGATCTC